AACAAGTAGTATACATAGTGTAAATAGATATTTGCACTTAGTGTAAATAGCATATTGCTAAAGTAAATAGGTATTTGCACTTAGTGTAAATAGAATCCATTGCTAATACGAGATTTGAAAAGGGAGGGGAAAAAAGTTCGGCAAAAGGCGGGATCGAACCCGGGTCGATCGCGTCAAAAAGCCAAGGGCACGCACTTGTCCATCTGCGCCACAGGAGCTGATAATTTACAGCCACTTTTAACTAAATGTAAATAGAAACCCCGTATTTTTTATTCCAGAGTAAAGGCAATTCATACAATACATTTAAACTGAGCTACTTTAATACCATCTCCGAACTTTCCACCACGACTCTGCTGTTCTTCGGCTGGTTCTTCCCTGTATACGTTGATTGACAGATGTCTCGTCCAGTCAGCGGTGAGTAATCCCAAACCAATGGCGCTGTCTCAAACTATACCTACCTCTTCCAGTTTGTCTGATTTGTCGTTGTGTTTTCTGACTCGTTAATTTGTTTTCGGATTTGTCGTTGTGTTTTCTGACTTGTTAATCTGTTTTCGGATTTGTCGTTGTGTTTTCTGACTTGTTATTTTGTTTTCGAATTTGTCATTGTGTTTTCTGACTTGTTATAATGTTTTCTGAATTGTTGTTGTGCTTTCTGAATTGTTATTTAGTTTTTTAGACTTGCATTTGCGTTTGTAATTTGTTATTTTGTTTTCAGAATTGTGAGGTTTGTCTGATTTGTCATTGTGTTTTCTGACTTGTTATAATGTTTTCTGAATTGTTGTTGTGCTTTCTGAATTGTTATTTTGTTTTGTAGACTTGCATTTGCGTTTGTAATTTGTTATTTTGTTTTCAGAATTGTGATTTGCTTTGCACTTCTCGGCCACCGTACAGATCGCTTGGCGGAGAGTGAAACTCTGATGCGCTCAGTCGGAGTGTTCGGCGAGTGAAAATATATCTGTGCTAATCATATACTTAGCCTACAACTCACACACTGGCGAGTAAAATCTGAGAATGTATTAGCAATTGGCTAATATTAGACATCATTTAGTCGCCCAGAGTAAAGATTTAGTCGCATATGCGAGTGATTTACTCGCAATGTAGAGGGTTGGTGGACTACACCTTTAAGGACTCTAAAGGTCTACTCACTTATTTAAATACTTGCAGATCATTCCAGCTAGATTCTCACAGTTCTTCTTGGTGGCACAGAAAATGAGGCAGGACTGCTGAGGGATGACTTCAGTAGCCAGAGCTATGATGCGGTCAGGGTCCATTTTCTGCATTCCACTGGAGTACTGAAAAAGTCCATCGCACAAAGGTTCAATAAGCACAGTAGATTGATATCTTATTGAGTTAAAAAAAAAAAAAAAAAAGCTTAGCACTGTGGGGTTTTGGCCATGAGAGATTATCAATACCTTAAAATCCAGGAGTCGTGAGAAACTGAAGCATGTCTCTTCCCTTGGGTCAACTTCGTATATGCTGTCCTTTATTTTTACATACTCTTTCAGCTCAACCTACAGAATCACCAGTTATTTATTTGAATTGAGCTGATCAAATTTAAAGCCTTATTAAATCATAGTCACAGTCTTACAGGTCTGAAGTCGTTGGTGTAGTTTTCAGCTTTCAGGAAGGTCTGAAGATCTCCCACGTTGCCTAATGTTGCACTCATACCAATAATTTGGGTGGATTCTGTGGAGAAATAACAATGGGGTTAATCAGAATCTGTAATGAGTGACCATCACACAAATAGAGTACTGCATGTGTGATTTTCGGGTACTCACTGCTCATGTACAGAATCTTTGACAACGTCATTTCAAGAATTGCCCCCCTGCTCCCATCACCAAGCATATGGAGCTGAAAAAAAGACATTCATTTGAAAAGCTTATATACACTACTGTTCAAAAGTTTGGGATCGGTAAGATTTTTTAAATTGTTTTATGCAGCAAGGATGCATTAGATTGATCACAAATGGCATTTAAGACATTGTTACAAAAATGTATTTCAAATAAAATGCTGCTGAATCCTGAAAAAAAAAATCCACAAAAATTTTAAGTAGCACAACTGTTTTCAATATTTACAATAAGAAGAAATGTTTCTTGAGCACCAAATCAGTATATTAGAATGATTTCTAATGGATCATGCGATACTGAAGACTGGAGCAATGGCTGCTGAAAATTCAGCTTTACCATCTCAGAGATAAATTACATTTTAAAATATATTATTGGAACTATTTTAAATTTTAATTATATTTTACAATATTACTGTATGTATGAAAAATAAATGTCAAATAAATGCAGCCCTGGTGAGCACAAGAGGCTTCTTTCAAATAAATCCTACCGAACCCAAACTTTTCGGTACTAGTGTATCAAAACAAAACCGAAACACAATAAAAAATATACTTTAATAATAATAATAATAGTTTGTGATACATACCTCATCCACAACAACCAGGCCAATATTCTCTAGACGGTCATTCTCGATCAGTGAATTGACAAGACTGTGTCCCTTCTCAATAGTTGTAATGTACAGAGAGTTTTTATTTCTTCTCTTGACTGGAGGAAACCTCCCTTTACTGCCAGCATACTCCTCGACCATGAAGTCCAACTCAATTCCAAAGCTAGACAACCCTCGAACCTAAAGGCAAATCAATGCATATAAGTGGATTAACAATACAGTAATAATGATCCAAAACGGCTTGATTTACACTTGATTGCCCCACTGTTTAGATAATACATAAAACATACATAAATACATAAACACATACCTTTTCCTGAACCAAGGATATGTATGGCAAAATAAGCAGTGCATCTTTCTTTCTACACAAGAGCTCTTTAAATATGAGAATCTCTGCCACTAGAGTCTTTCCTCCACTTGTTGGTAAAGAATAAATTAGATTTCTCCTTTGTTGCACCGAATCCAGGCTCAAACACGTCTTCTGCCATTCTAAAACCACAAAGAGAATGGAAAATAACAAGAGGATTAAAACACTGATTTGCCAGATGCCGATAAGGACAAAACTGGAATGGAAAGGATGTGAAATACTTACCATACAAGTCCTGGATTCCCTTTAATATAAAAATAAGGTCTTTAACTTTGGATGGGAGACCAAAAAAAGGGCCCAGATCCTGCTCAGCTGATATGGACTCCATGGCCTGCATGGCAAAACTAATTTCTTCAGTCATCACAGCTTCCTTTTGTTGTACTGTCTTGGAGACAGTACTGGATGTTGCTGCATTGTCTATCAGTACTTTCTTAAGATGATCTTTCATGCTTCTTCTGGCCTTTGGGGGTGGCTTGTTGACAATGAGATCTGCGTGATTGACAGCTGGCCTGGGATTCATCAAATCAGGAGTAGAGGTGTTATGTGCACTCCTGGAAGGCCTTTTGTCTGGGGTCGTGACAGCTTTTTGAAATTCAAGTTGAGAGCTTGGCAAAGCTCTGGGTGGTGAATCTCTGAAATCCTCTGCTAAGATTGAGTCTGAAAGGTCATCCTCACAGGCATTCTGAGTCTGCTGGTCGTGACACTGCCTCATTTGGAGTTCCACATCTTCAAGCTTAGCTAAAAAGGCGCTGTCACCCACAATGCTGTCATAACCCTCAAATAAGTCCTCATTGTCACTGCAGCACTGCATAAGAAAAGAAACACCACTGGCATGCTTGAAATCAATGTACATCTTTCACTGAAAGTAAGAAGGGGCTGCTTACCAGCTCTGTGCCTTTATTCTCACTCGTGTTTTGAGTATAAGTGTGTCCTTCAACAGTAGAGCATGTTTCTGATGTGAAACTGGACCGCTTCTTGGCTGGAGTGATGTGACTTCTCATGCCATCCCTTGATCTCTTTCTTGAGGAAAAGTTGCGCTTTACCACAATCTCGTGCATGTGGTTGTCAGTATACATTACTACTGTAAAGCTACTGGACACTGATTTTACAACATTGCGTGACAATACTAACGTATTGTCGGGTTAGTAATTGACACCACAACAAAGAGTCGAAGCTGTTTATTCACCCATAGTCAAGTCTGTATGACGGTTAAGTACCTGGCCATCACGAGATCAAAACAATAACAAAACAACTAATATCTATTATTACACAAAATAATAGTGAGCGGCGACACACTAACCAATGTTTACCAAAAGCGAGGACTTTCGAAAAGATGAGTGATAGAGATGACCAATGGGAGGTCGCCTTTGGACCACGTGACTGTTAAAGCGTCAAGACGAGAGAAAGCAGAACAAAAGTCCCTCCAGTCCTTCACAGAAACAGACTTGAATAAACTCTTCCGAAAATGAAAAGAAAATATATATATATAAAACTCCATAAGCTTTTTATATAAATGTCATATTTTATTTTATATTGATTCTTTATTAATGAAACGCATTTTCACAAGACATAAAAGCTGATTGCAATGTTTTCAAGAATGCAAAATGATCCATGCACTTGCAAAATCTATACAACTACAAAATCTTTTCAGACAATTGTTCTATTATTTTATTATATTTTATTTGTATTATTTACCATTGGTTCTTTATCAGTGGTTCGAATGTATTTAAATATTCTCTTTCCAAAACAGAGGGGGTGAAAGCTGAGTCTTTCAAGAATCCAGAATTGTCCATACACTTATATAATATATATATATATATAGAAAAATCTACAAAACCACTTGAGCTTTTTATACAAGTTTCGCAGTATTTTATTATTTTATTTTATCATTGACTCTTCAACTGTGAAATATTATTTATATGATGTTATTATATATCAATAACTATAACTTTAAATATATCATTAACTAAAAACGTTTTTCAAACGTCCTCCAGTTTCCAACAATAGTGAAATAAAGCTGAGTGCGAGTCTTTCAAGAATGCAAAATCTATAAAACTATTACAGCTTTTTATACAAACATTCTATTATTTTATTTGATTTACCTTTGCACCTTTATCGTTTCTTTTGTATATCAATTATATGTAAAGGCCCTTGAAGTAAAGTTCGCTTGCTCCGGTCCTGTAGGTGGCTGCAGATTGCAACAAACTTAACCATAACCGCGCTAAACGACTCTGAAGAAGCAGGAAGAAACTGTCATGGTGGCCTCCTGAACACATCGAGGAATGTTTGCCCTTTCTTTTGGTCGCCTGTTATTACAGGCTCTTCCCAAACAACCGGTCACACCTAGGGCTACAGGTATCTCTGCAACATTATTTTCTCAATCTTTTTGTATGCAAAATGCTTTCCAAGACATTTAGTTATTCTCTTACCCAGTAACTAGGACATTTTCGTAAGCACACAGCTTAATAATGTAATTATTTGATTAACCTATATGTTAAAGGAAAATATAGGTTGATGTCCTGACCCGGATTTTTTAAAATGTATGATAGCATGTTAGTCATGAAATGTAAAAAGATTTCATCTGTTTCAGCACAATGCATCAGAAGTCTGACAACATGTCAGCAAGAACCTCTTAAGAAAGGTGATATGGTAAGTTTTTATTTTATTTTATTTTTTTACATGCGTTTCTGCTTAATTTTTTTTAATTTTCAGGTTTCAGTTTAATTGTTGAAGTTCTCTGAAACCATTTGAATGATTTGCATTAATATTACAACATGATGTCTTATCCAGCCTATCAAAATGGAAAACCCATACAAGAGTTGATGTCCTGACCCGGATTTTTTTAAATGTATGATAGCATGTTAGTCATGAAATGTAAAAAGATTTCATCTGTTTCAGCACAATGCATCAGAAGTCTGACAACATGTCAGCAAGAACCTCTTAAGAAAGGTGATATGGTAAGTTTTTATTTTATTTTATTTTTTTTACATGCGTTTCTGCTTGACAGTTTAATTGTTGAAGTTCTCTGAAACCATTTGAATGATTTGCATTAATATTACAACATGATGTCTTATCCAGCCTATCAAAATGGAAAACCCATACAAGACCCCCCCAAAAACTTGCATCCTGTGCAATATAACGGTAGACTTCAGAAACGTTCAGGTTGGTCAAATGAGCAGGAATATGAATATCAGTTATACATTTTTATTGGCAAAATAATCAAAATGCTCTTTTTCTCCAGCTGTTGTCTCAGTTCATTTCACCACACACAGGCAGAATATATGGCAGACACATAACAGGTGAGTGGACTGAGTTCAGATGTTCACATTAATATTTTTTATAAATGTTTCAGTAATTTAGGACACCGTAACTCTTGCTCACAGGCTTGTGTGGTCGAAAGCAGAAAGAAGTATCAAAGGCAATAAAGAAAGCTCGTTCAATGGGTAAAGAATTTATGGCTTTAATTTGTTTTTATTTTTATGAATGAAATATACATGTGTTTTCAGTACAATATCCATAGATATACAGTAAAACCAGGATATTTGACTAACAAAGGTCTTTGTAATGTCTACAGGTTTTATGTCAGTCACTCTGAAGGATCCACAGTTTATTAAAGACCCTGATATTTGTGGTATCAAACATTTTGAATAGGTTCTGTATGAAGACTGACACTGCAGACCAGCCTTTTGTTTCTGTAAATCTGTGCTTTGTAAAATACATAAAATGGTGAAAAATAAAGTGGAACATAATTATAACCTGATGAACCTGAAATCCATGGAGTATTATACTACTATTATAATGAAAAAATGAATAAAATTCAATTAAATAAAAATGCCACATATGTGAATTCAGTATTTAATTTTCAAGGAATTTATAAACATTTACAAATAAAGTAAAAAAAAAATGATATTAAACAATTAACAAAATAGCGCAATTTTAGATGAGCACGCATATTAAGCAACCTCCAGGTATAAAATGGGTCATGCTTTCCAGTCTTGGTTAGATTGCTGTACCAATAAAACCAGGCTCAGTTGCATTCTTTAAAAGATAGGAGAGTTACTTCTGCTCTGTCCGTTCATCTCAACCTCTGTATCTGACCCGCTCTCGGAGGCCAACTCGCTGGTATTATTAGTTTTCCTCTTCCTTTTAAGTCTCTGAGGATAACTAGCTACGAGGCATTTTTTCCTGAGTCGGGGGGCTGTGTCCTTCCTCTTGGTGTGTTGATTCTCCAGAATCAGAGGCAGCTTGGTGGGAATATCAATGTTATGGTCGGTATTACAGCACAGTTCTAATACAGGGAAGCCCTGAACAGTGAGGGTTTGTGTCTGTAATGAAGGCGCATCGGGGAAGAGCGTTCTGAGAGCTGAGCACAGAAGAACATTCTCTTTGGGTTCATCTGGAGAGGCGCGTTTTTGGGCTGAAAGGCAATGTTATTCATAGAGTTACAACTGCAACATTAAACCTCTGTACCCAAGCGCACAGAGACTGAAGCCCTTTTACGTTTTAAATCTGTGATAAGATGCCTCAGTTCGTAGCGTGCTAGTTGCAAACAGTTCTATCTTTCAGTGTGTGACTGGCCTTGGAGGAATTAATATAAAGTGCACTAGAAATATTACATCTTTAATTTAATTGATTTTATGATGTTTTAACTGTGACAAATAGTTCTGTGGTTTCAGTAAAATATCCACGGACATAAAATCAGGATGTTTGAATAACAAAGATCTTTACCCTATTTATAGGGTTTACATCGGTCACAGTTTATGAAATACCCTGATATTTGTGGTATCAAACACTGAATAGTTTCTGAATGAAGACAGTCTATGCAAGCCGTTTTTGTTATTGTAAATCTGTGGCAGTGTCATTTTTGTATCACTGATGTACTATTATAGTTTTGTTAATATTTTGAATTAGATTTCATTTTTTCATATTCTGTTTTCATTTTAAATGTAATATGTTTTAGTAATTTCATATAATTGTCAATTTTATTCTTTTTAAAAAATATTTCTATATAGTTATTACTTTTTAGTTTTATTATTATTACAATTATTTTAGTACTTCAGCTTAAATGAAGACAAGAAATGCTGCCTTGACAACTAGCTGAAATTTTATATTTTATTTCAAGTAATGAAACTTTTTTTTGTCTTTAGTTTTGGTTAAAGATAATAAACCTAATTTGCAGTTTGTACAAACCAGTATGAAATATAAACAATTATAATAATCTGATGAACCAAAAACGTATGTAATATTATACTCTTACAATGAGAAGAGTAATAAAATGTAGCAATTAAATACAAAAATAGCGTTACAAGTGCTACCTTACAACAATCTGTATCCAAGCGCACACTACAAGACTGAAGCCCTTTTATGTTTGAAATCTGCGCAGACCAGCCTCAGTTGTCATACAGTGCACTAGAGATAATGGACCTTACTTTCATTTTTCTCAGAGTTTCTCTTCCGTTTCCTGATCGCCTCCTTGAGCTGTGTGATGTCTTCTTGAAGCTTCTCTACAGCTCTTTCACTCTTCTCCACTTCCTCACACACTTTCTGTATAACAAAAGATGGATATGAAATTTTCATGTGATTTACAAATATTCAAATCACACTGGATAAAATTTCACAACTAATAAGGAACGTAGATACTAACCTTCATTTCTCCTAACAAGGCATCATTCATGTTGCTGATATTTCCGACCTCCTTTAAATCATCCCCCGAGCAGAAGAATTTTGTCCTGACACATAAGAAAAAAATATATTTATCACTTCTAAAGAAAAAGCTAGATTTGTATATTTTCTGAAGGAAATGTGAGCGGCGCTTGCTCATGCATTGCCAGGGTATTGCTATGTGGTTGCTAAGGTTTCCTAAATATGTTTTTGTTTAAAACATTATTAAGGTTTCCTGAATGTGCACTGATGGGTGGTTTTAAGGATAGTTGTCAATGTCATGATCCTCCAGACCTCTTTGATATTCTGACCTCTAGATGTACCTCCTTAATTGTAAGCCACTGGGATGGTTTTATCATCTACCAGGCAAAAAAGATTGCCTTGACAAGACCACTAAAAAGCCTTGAAAGATATAGTTCATTCAAAAATGAACATTTGCTGAAAACGCACCTATCCAAGATGTAGATGAGTTTGTTTCTTCATCAGAACATTTAGCATTACATCATTGCTCACCAATGGATCCTCTGCAGTGAATGGGTGCCGTCAGAATGAGAGTCCAAACAGCTGATAAAACATCACGATAATCCAAATGTAATCCACATGACTCCAGTCCATCAATTAATGTCTTGTGAAGCAAAAAAAATGTTTCTAAGAAACAAGACATTACTTGATAGACTAGAGTCTAGAGTGTGTATTATTGTGATGTTTTTTTTTTATCAGCTGTTTGGACTCTTATTCTGACGGCACCCATCCACTGCAGAAGATCCATTGGTAAGCAAGTAATGTGATGCTAAGTTTCCCGAAATCTGTTCCAACGAAGAAACAAACTCATCTACATGTTCAGCAAATACATCTACATTTTCAGTTAAATTTCATTTCTGGGTTAACTATTCCTTTAACTGCAATTAAAACATATATTCTGAATGTACCTGTGTCGATTAACAGCTTGACTCTCTCCTAAAGAAGAACATGTGCCTGACACGCTCCAGTAGTCCTGCTGTTCAAGGTTTCCCAGGTTGCTCACCAAGATGGGGATGTTGATGTACTGGCTGCATGGAGATAATAAAAACATTTAGTTACATTTGTTCTCTAAGCTTCAAAAAAATCTGCTGAATGTTTGAGTGCCAGAGTTGAGTGCAAAATCTTCAGATCTCACTTGCTGTGCCAAATGAAAGCAGAGAACTCAAGGCGATGGGTGGAGCCTGATGCTGTTGCCTGAGACGGTGTGAGCAGCATAAAAACAAGTTCCTGACTGGACAGAATCTTTCTCATATTCCGATGAATCACTTGTTCCATGAAGGTCATTTGCTGTCTGGAGTTTCTTCGTTGTCTGTACCAACCAATCACATTCTCCTTGACACAAGTAAATGTGTAATAAGAAAAACACAATTTGTTAATGCAAATCACATTTTGGATATATTCAGCAGTAGAAAATGAGTAAATGTTTTAAAAAGTAGGAAATACCTCTTTGTAATCAGACAAAATTTGTCTTATTTTCTCCTCACTCACATCACCAGCGTTACTGTAGAAGCTTTCAAGAGGATTGAGGCAATGGTAAATAAAATGTCTATATTTTTAAAACCTCTATATCAGTGGTTTTCAACTGGTGAGTTGTGGTCCGAAAAAATGGGTCACTCTGGGTAAAAATAAATACATAAAAATGCTAAATGTGAATAGTAATACACTGTATAAATATAAGATTCATATTTTTTCATAAGTCATTTTTTTGTGCAATACTTGATTTTCAGTACATATTTGTATGATAAACAATTCTGTACCCTGGGTCACCACTTTATGTCCAAATTTAAAATCCAGGTCATAAAGCAAAACCAGCTGAGAACCACTGCTTTATATAAAAAGAGGTTTATGGGGGGAAAAAAATACTGAACAATTGACTTACCTATGGAGATTATGACAAGGGATGTGTTTCTGAATATCTGAAAAAGAGAAAACATCATGACACTACTGTTTTGTTGTTATGGTATATTTGTTGTCATTGATCATATGATATATATTCCTTCTCGGCACACTTTAGGTTTTGGATTATGACTATTATATGAAAATATGAAATAATTAGAGTCAACTTACTTATAGTGTGCTCAAACTGTATGTGATCAATTTGTGAGTCTGTGATCCTACAGTTCTCCTCTCCCACACTTTCTCCAAGAATAAGACCTTCCTTTTAACATAGAGCAGATGTAAACAGAAGTTATGGGACTGAGGAAGTGCTTAGCATACATATTTGACTTCTTATTTTACAATTTATTTCACAACCAAGGATCAGGTCACATTGGGATCTTTTGTCACTTACCACATCCGCATCACTGTTCAAATGATGAAACATCAGTGAACTCAACACGAAACCCGATATACGGACGGTTGTGTTGAATTCCTCCATGCTTTTGGACTAAACCGTGAGTTAACTATCGCAACGTCATAGTTTTAAGTTATAGTTTCTATGCTACATGTATAAACTTTCTGCGCTTGTAGGTTTCGTTTACTTATTCTCAGCATAAGAGACGGCAGTTTACAGCTAAAGTCTTGCTCATGCTGCCACCATGTGGTGCGGAGGAATTTACGCGTTCTACATTAGAATCAGCATAGACCATAGAAATTTTAGTTTTCGGGAAACTACTTGTGGTTTTAAAGCATACTTTTATTTTGAGGGGAATTTAGGACAAACATTGCAAAATTGCATCGCTGGGATTTCATGCTTGCAAAATTTCTTCACTGTCATATCATAGGCTACTTCCCAGTAAGCTAGAAGGCTGATTTATATAACGTTACATATATATATATATATGTGTGTGTGTGTGTGTGTGTGTTTCTTTTATGTTTTCCAAATATTTTACGTGTTATAGTTTAACATCGTTTAGCGATACATTTTCATCAGATATAGCGCGTTTATGATAACGATTATCATAACGTCACACAGGGTGGCGCTAGTGCATCATGTAGAACCATATGTGTCCGAACTTTGTAACCAGTCACACGAAAACTTTTTCGGACATAGCTTCAGGATTTGAGATATACAGTATATGTAACATCGACTTCAGACGTCTGTAATGAAGAGATGAATGTTATCGAGGTATTGTGAAGGTGTTACACTGAATCTTAATCTTTGTTAGGTTGTTGTTGTTTTACTGCTCATGTGATACTCTTGTTACGCTCTTATGGCACAGCGGTTTCTGAGTGATAACGGAAAGGAGACGGACAACTCAAGCCCTAAAAGTTTTCGATAATTATTTTATAGGTAACATTATAGTTCCCTAAAATCATCTAGTAGAATTGTATTTAGATAATATGCTTTTCTGATTAGCTATAAGGAAGAGTGTCTTCTTCTTAAAACATTACGGAGACCCCCCTTACATGTTCCGCCTAAATAAGTTAGGCTACTACAGCTAATATCATATCATAAAATACCATAATAATTACTACAGCTATCAATATCATAAAATAAAATAAAAATACCAGCAGCTATTCAGCTATTCTACCAATAGAATACTAAACTTGTAGATCTATTAGACGTCATTATAATAAAAACAAGAAAATTATATAAAATAAAATGACAAAAATATTCAGATAGGTTCTTATAAGCTGTTTGATTTCATATTTGTGTTAAGTAAAATCATAATTTAGGCTAACAATTAGGCTAACAGATTTTTATTTTTTATTTTAGTGTTTTAAAAATGTTTACAGTGTTATTTGTTAAGGTGAACTCAGCAATAAACAGGTCAGATGCTGTACAGTAATACAGAAACAGGCCACCAACCACATGAAAAAATTTCCCCAGAGGCAGTACTAACACACTGATTACGACATTTTAAACACGCACCACTTCTGTTTTGGCTTTTGCCTTCACCCGCTTGAGCAGATGGCCCGAGCTCAGAGCCCTGTCCCATAGACTGACAGGAAGGACAGCAGAGATGGAAGGTGCTTGGGACATTGCATTCGTGCTCTTCCATGTGTGGCTGTCCATTGTAGTGGGGCTCATCGTGTTACCTGCTATGTTTGGTGTGTCCCTGGGCTTCACAGATATCTACATCAAGGTGCTGGTTAAGACACTGGAGGTAATAGCTCTAAATCATGTCTAATTTTTAAAGAGATATGACCATTAATTTCTTTCCATATCTGATCATATATAAAATAATTGTAAATGCAAACATAGAAAAGTTTTTTCCTTTACCTAGACCTGACAGAAGTTGATGATGCCAAGACAAACTTGCAAAAGAGGGTCAAAAGGCATGAAACTAAAATTTAATTGTCAGGAGTTTAGTTTCTAGTATTTAATTTCGAAAAGGACATATTGATATTTGATTTGTACATGACAGTTTAAGTGTCTGTATGTAGGAAGCACTGTTTCAATGGGTTCCTGAACATAAACTTGCATTCTGTGGCAGTGGGCGACTCTCAGGATCCAAAGAGGACAGAAGGAACAGCCAACACTGCCATTACAGTCAGCCAATGGTGAGTGAAATGAGCATGTCTGTCAATGCAAAAGTATTTGTAAGTGCAAGACATCATGTGCGTAAAACTCAAGTGTTTGGTTTCAAGATAACTTCATGTGAAGCCACCGCTTCCTCTTTAGAATTACTGATGCTGCATATTAGACAGTAATAAAAAAGTTTGCTTTAATTTGCTGCCTTTGTTTGCTGTTTTATGTTTTCTTTTCTAGCATTTATGCAGTCAATTTATATGATGACAAATCTCACAAGTTTCGCGTTTTAGTTGACACAACTCTTTCCAGTAAGAAAATAATGTTTAAAATGCTGCTGGCCTGCTGCCTGTCAGTCACGGTCAGTCTATTGAACATACTGTAATTGGTATTGCAGCAAGTGGTGGATTTCATAATTTCAGTTGATCTTATTTATGAACTTTACCCAGCTTCAGACAGGGCATTTTTTGCTTAAATCCGGAGCTCAGGACATAAATGAAATCATGCTTACATTATTATATCCAGACAAAAAAACAAAACAAATCAATTAATATAAATGGAGGCAACTGTGTCAAACAGTGGTGCTCCACAGGCATGGTGTAGTTTTCTCCTTCTCTATCTGGTCTCATTTCAAATTCATAATGTGTTCTCAGGGATCATCGAGAAAGATGATGGCTCTATGGAGGAGGAAATTGGAGAGCTGCGACGATCCCATCCTAAAAATCTGGCGGGGGGAGACTTTACACTGTGCGATGCCTTCTATTTCTGTAAGAAAGGCATTGAGAACATTGTTGAGGATCAGGTGACTCAGCGCTTCACGTCGGAGGAACTGGCTTCTTGGAACCTCCTCACGAGAACCAACAACAACTTTCGTTATATCAGTGTGCGGCTCACCATCATATGGGGCCTGGGAGTTTTTATACGTTACTGTATCTTGTTGCCTCTCAGGTGAGACTAGAGTGATATTTCATTTATCAAGTGACATTAAGTCATCAAGGATGCATTAAATTGATCAAAAGTGACGAAGACATTTGTAAAAACATTACAAATGCTATTCTTTTAAACGTATAATCATCTTAAACAATTGAAAATAATGTATCATGGTTTCCACAAAATATTAAGCAGCACAACTATTTCCAACATAATAGAAAACATCTATTTTACATTGTAATAATATTTCAGCATGTTGAATTTTAATTTAATTTTATTACATATTACAAATCTCATTATTGTGACCTAGAAATGTGACCTGGATGTCTTTTTTGTGATTCACCTATATGTGTATTTAATCATGTTATTGCTCTTTGTCATAGGATCACGTTGGCTGTTATCGGATTGAGTTGGTTGGTGATAGGAACTACTCTTGTTGGATTACTTCCTAGCAGCAAGTAATTAATATTGCATGACATAATTAATTAGATCATACCCTCTTGTCTTTCATTTATGGACAGATTGAATAAGAAATGTGACCCTGGACCACAAAACCAGTCTTAAAGGAACACTCCACTATTTTTGAAAATAGGCTCATTTTCCAACTCCCCTAGAGTTAAACAGTTGAGTTTTACCGTTTTCTAATCCATTCAGCCGATCTCCGGGTCTGGCGGTAGCACTTTTAGCTGTAGCTTAGCATAGATCATTGAATCTGATTAGA